TGAAAAAAAAAGTAATAATATTGAAGATTAAACTTAATTTAATGAGTATGGAACTGAAATAAATAATTTAATAAAACGTATTCTTACTCCTATGATGCGGTAAGAGTTCAATTAGTATTGAGTAAGATCCAACCAAAAAATATAATAAGTAAATAACATTTTAAGCAAGTTCTCTTACTTGGAATAACAAAAAAATCACAAAGTTCATTGAATTTAATATCATTATATTTAATGATATTCAGTGAAAAAACAATTAACCATTTAGGAATACAATTTTTTTCTCAAAAATAATATTCTTAAATAAATAAACGATAGCATAGTAGGGCCGCGGCACAGTATAAGCGTGGCATAGTTGGGGCTAGTATTGATGATATCTGACATTGATTAAAATCATTGCCATAAGAAACGATTCGATACAAATCTGTAGATAGTGTTTAATTTTAAAAATTGGTGGATAATTGAAAAGCAAAATTCTAACTCAAAAAAAAATTACAAAAAAATTGCAAAAAAATCATTGTCACGGGCAATGATTTTTACTGAATCAGCAAACGTTCGTCACATTCGTTTTTTGATAAAATTGGCAATTTAAGATGATTCAAATGTTAAAATAAATTTTTTTGACTTTAAAGTAAAAAATATTATAATAATATTAACATTATATTCTATGTCATTTAGATTTATATAATATTCATGAAATCAGTGTACCCCTTATAAGATATTTTAAAATAAATTAAAATACAATACCAAGAATTTTAACACAAAAATAGCATGTTTTTTAACTACGGCAGCCATTTGCACATTTGCAAGATAAGTCATCGGGACAAAATTTTTTTTTTGAACTTATAGTACATAACATTAGCTTTATTTTAACATATGTTTGAAGCTCGGGATATTTCCGAAACATTTTCAAAACTTAAATTGAAAAAGTTAAATTTTTGTGCAGAAGGTGCTATTTTGAATCCCCCCCTGTAAGCAGGTAAAGGGTCAAATTTACAAAAAATTTATATCAAATGAAAAGAAAATAACTAGGTTTTCAATATAAAACATAATTTTTTAGAAAAAAAATGAAAAATTTGTCAAAATTTACTGATTTTAAATATCGTAATTTTTTGGAGGTTTCACTATTTACGGGAAACGTGGGCAAAACTTTAAATTTTTGAGCATAATGTCTTATACAATTTATCTTATACTAGATACAATTAGTGATCTTTTGACGTATCGTTGAGTAAAATCAGTCCAGTGAGAGCTGAGAGAAAGTAGTGACAGACACAAAAAAAAAATAATAAACACATCATGGTAAAATTAAAATTTAATATAATAATAAATGAACCTCATTTATTTCAAAATAACGATAAAAGTTGTTCTTTCGAGCAACGTTGGCTTTTTTCCTCAAATAAAAATATTTTCTTAAATTCTATGCCAAAAAAATTGTGTACGAAAATTTCATTACTCAATATTTATTAATAAAAATATTCTATATCCAACCAAATCGAAATCAAGTTTTATGAAATTATTTTATAAATATAAAATAGTATTTTTTAACAGTTAAATATAATATTACATAAAAGCACGAACATTTATTGAAAATTAAAAGATAATTGTAAATTGATGATTTTATAACATCAAATAAAAACATGTGCAAAATGATCCAAGATTTAATATTTATCAACTATTAGTTCCTAACTATAAAACTAAATTATTCATTTCAATATTGGACTTTTACACCGGATTACTCTATACTGTATTCATAGATTTTTTAATGTATTTTGTTAGTAAGATTTCATTGTACCTTTCTAATTAATATTTCTCTATTTGAATTACAATTTAGTATTTATACTATGAGAATTTATCATTACAAAAAAAAAGGGTAACTAGGATAATATTTAAACTTGGTATCAATATGTAGTAATTTATATATGTATACGATATATATCGAATTATCTTCTACCAAGTACATCTTCTGTCTTGTTTAATTTAAGTAATAATTATTAAAAGTTCACACATAGATACTACACCAAGAAGTTTGAATAGTTCATGTGTAGTTTTCAAATTTAAAAGTTTTCTGTTAACATATTTAAAGAAAATTATCTTTATTTGCCATTCTCAACTTGATTTTGCTGAACTTTTCTACTTTGACTTTGAAAATTACCACTGCCAACATCTTCACATGTTTAGTTATGTGTGAAGATTTAATAAGTATATAATCAAGGTGTTTTGTTGAAAACACAATTTAAATGTATAAATTAAAAGGTATATTATCGTAAAGTTCTATACTATCGAATATCTACGTAATCAGAGAACACCAAAATGGGAAAAAATAATACTCGAAGTTTCGTTATGAAGTCTTGAAAATTTCAATACTTTAATAATTAACTTCATAAAAAAATCTTTGAAGCGGGGTATCCAAGCAAAAGATTTTCCTATCAATACATTTTAAGAAAAAGTTCTACAGTTGTAATAATTAAAACTTTTGTTGTAAAAAAATCTTCCGTGAAGATGTGAAGTGAAAAAATCTTCTTAAATGTAATTAAATTACAAAGTATTTCTAACTATATTTTAATAATTAAATAAATATTATTACATCAAAGTGATAGATAAAAAAAACCTAGTAAAATCGAAATCTAGCATGGTGGTATTGTAGCATAATGGACTCCCAGTATAAACTTAAGTTTAACAGTGATTAAAATCATTAGCATAAGACGGTTCGATGCTATAGTTTATAAAGAAAGACTATAAAAAAGGAAATTTTAAAAATTTTTACTATATCCATCAATTACTTTTAGAAGGGTAGATACGATTATTCTTCTGTGTACGATAAGAAAATTTTGACGTATTGTTGAACAACAAACAGTTCAGTGGACGAGTATTCATATTTATATTTACATTTTCATATAAGTATCTAAGATAAAAAATTTATGTATACAAATATCATGGATATTCTTTTAACGTTAGCCACTTGATTTTTTTTTAAAGCAATAACTATGTTAAAAATTTATTTTTGGTATTTTATAGTTTCATATATTTCTTGTTTTATCAGTTATTAATTACTTTTTTTATTAATTTCTTATACCTTACAAGGATGTCAAATTTATATTTTTAAATTGCAACATAAATATTTAACTGTATTATAAAATCAAAAATAATGGAATTAATAAAATGACTGGTCGATAACAACTTTAGGATTAGTATTTCGAAAGTTATAAACACTATTTACGGGATGGGGAGGGTAAGTGCGACTGAAAAATGTTCAAAGATAAATATTGTCATATCCACGCCTCATATCGAGTCAATATTTTCTAAAATAATGCGTCAAAAGTTGTTATCTATTTTATAAGCTAGTTAAATATATTTGTTTTGCCATTTTAAAAATAAAGTTGACACCCTTAAAGGTATAAGGAATAAATTAAAAAAATTAATAAATGAGAAATATATAAAACTAAGTTTAACTTAAAAAAATTTCTTAACACAATTATTATTTTAAGATAAATTGAGTACCCAACTTTGAAAAAATAAGCTTATATATCTCAATGTAAATATTTTTAATCTCAAGATCTTTAAACTCAAATTACGTATAAACTAAAAAATATCTTATACATAAAATAACTCTAAAATTAGTAATAGAAAATATCAAAATTATATATTCAAAAAATATTTGGAACAAATATTCAAATTAAATACTTTGGTTTCAAAACTATTCAATTGGAAAGATGAAAACATTTGTTAATGTAGCTTTATTATTTTATTAATGAGTCTCGAAAGAAATTTCGAAAATCATAGTTGATAAAAAATATGTTTTTTATAAATAAAACATGTTTAAAATATAAGTAAACAATTTAACGTTTAAAAAAAACATTAGACTAATGTAAATAATAAAATTTGGCGTATTTATCACGTTAAAAACAGTGTTTCGAATTCATGCATTATTTAATTTTTAAACCTAGTTTTCACTCATGGGTGTCCACAGGAGTGAAAAACAAAGCAATTGCCCCATTTGATATTTTTCTTAGTTAATTTTGTAAAATAAAACTTTTTTATTTTTCGGAGATCTATACCTTAAAAGAGAGAGCTAAACTCCTTTTTGTTTCACCTATGGCGAGGTTTCCAAAAAATTGCAGTTCCCTGGCTAAGTACCCCAGTCATCCCCTTCAACGCTGGATCTGTTGAATGTATAGCGAAATAAATATTCAAAAAAATATTTTGCCTACTCCTATGAAAAATGTTTGCGGACGCTCTTATTTCAAATCATCGACACCCATATGGATAATGCTCAGTACCATCGAGAAAATGAAAAACTTGTCTAGTTTACAGTGATAATAACAAGCCATCCTTTAAACATGTAGATTAATCAAAAACAAATATCCACTAAAATTGTTTCGTTAAAATGCTTGTGCATATTATTTCAGAGAGATACTTAATTTCGCTTTTTTATTTATATATTTATTTTGTTACCTCATATTTTTATTACATTAGAATATTCAAGAAGTATAATAGTATATAATAACAATAATTAGTATTGTTTTTAGCAGTATAATGTTCATTATTTTTCTGTAGTCTTTAAATATAACAACAATACTATGTCCAATAAAACAATAGTATTAAAAATCATATATTGTAAAGTACAGCATAAAAATTATGTTAACATTTGAAATAAATTTTAGCTTAAAATTCAAGCTACTCGAGTTCTGGGTTTACATTTTCAGAAAAGAAAATCTGATAATTTTATTAAAGTATAAATGAGGAAAGCTATAAAATAATTGTATGGCATTTCTTATAAGAATAGACTGTATTAAATAATAGTAATTATTCTGATAGCTCGATTTATAATAAGCGTAAAATATTTTTACTATTTATTTTTTACTAATTAAATTAGAAATAATTATACAAGTGTTTTCGTAAAATATATAATTTTTTTATAAATGATTGAATTATTTAAATACATGCATATTATGCGTGATGAAACAAAAAATTAAATCCGAACTTGCCAGTTGACTGATAAATACCTTGAACGTGACAATCCAAGAAATTGGACGAGAATAGACCAAACATAATTATATATGCTATTACAAAGTTGATGTACTTCATGGTAGGACTTAGACTTCAGTTATCGAAATGATGACAGTTACAACAACTAGTGTTTTCATTTTACAACGATGGTGGCGCAACCACTACACTAGACTTTTGCGCACAAACATACCAATTTAAATTATAAATAACAGCTTATTTAAATTTTTTTTTTAAATAAATCTAAAAATTGATAATAAATTAAAAATAAGATGATTGATTTATGCGATAAAATCTTCGCCATAACAATTTCAAAATTAACTTTAGGAATTAAATTTTGAGTAATTATATTCAATGTGGTTACACTATTGTATCTAAAGAATAATTACAATTATACTAAAGTTATAATTTCTGACTTTTTTGTCGAAAGAGGAGATTCATGCTTTCCAAGACAATATTTTAAACATTTTGCACACATTTTTTTAATTAAAAATATAAACTATAATTATGTTTTAAACAAATTATTAAATAAAAACAAAAGTATACATTTGTTTAAAGTCGTATTATTTCCAAAATATTTTCAAAAGCTATGTTAAAAAAATTGACTTTTCGTGCAATAGTTGCTATTTTGAATCCTTTCTGTAGGCCGGTAAAGAATTAGATATTTTTAAAAAAATAACAATTTTGTTATTCTTCGATTTTTTATTTTTTATACGTTGTACAGTAAAACTGATTTAATGAACGAACAATTAGTGAAAGACACAAGAAAAAATATATTTTATATTTATATTTATGTATATATATATATATGTATACTATATATAATGTAAAATAAAAATTAGAAATTTAAAACTAATTAAAAATAAAAATTAAGTTTTTTAGCTTCGCATTGATACTAAAAAGTTGACAAAATATTTTCAAACCACAATAATTTTCGAAAAAATTGTTAATAATTGATTAATAAAGTTATAGATTGAAAAACAAAAGTAATTAAAAAATAACATAGTGGTATTTTAGGAAACGATCTACATTAGATAATTTGTCCGTTATCTAATCAGATATAAGAACAGCATTTAAAAGATGGCAACACATAGTATTAACAATAAGTTTAGACATATACGACAGTTTGGAAGCATAGATTACTTAAAATACTAATTCAAATAATAAAATAGAAACATGTTAATCTTCATTAAAACTTTCTTAAAATCTAGACGGTTTATAGTAAAAATATTAAAAACACTATCAAAAAACTTCTCACGTGAAAACAGCATACCGCAGCGGTCATGCCTATCACTAACTGTGTTTTTACTAGCTATAAATAAATTCACTGAAACTAACGTATTCATTAACAGTAGAATTGTTTACAGACAATTTTAACCTTATAACAACTTGCACAATACAATTACTCCTGCAAAAAGCTACTAATAATTTATCTAATTGGTTCAAACTAACTGGTTTCAACATCCCAGGCAAAAATAAAAATGCATAGTTTTTCCCAGAAAAAGGGGTAAATCAAAATAAAATAATAACGAAATAACAATTCAAAATACTTGGAATGTGGTTAGACAATAAAATAAATTGGTGTTTTCACTTAAAACAACTAAAAAAAGCCATCGATAAGAGTATTACACAAATTAATGATCACAAAACATAACTGGTGATGAAAATACTCTAATCGAGATACACAAACAAATAATTATAAAAGCAAAAATTGACTGCAAAGCAATATTATAACCGAATAACAAGAAATTTACATCTGAAATCAATAAAAAGTTCGATCAACACAAGTTTATGAATTATAATCGGCGCTTTTAAATTTAGCCTTATAAAAAGTATCAGAAATATAGGATAAGAACATCGAACCCCTCATTAAGGAAATTAAAACTGCCTGGTATATGCGACGAGAGTATTAAATCTGAACACAATAATTAAATCAAACTCTTACAATTATTGTACATTTACCATTATGGAATGTAACTGACGACAATGACAGTAAAATATATAATTATAGAATGTATTCAATATAAAATTTTGGTAAAACTGAACATCCAAAACAATTTGTACACAGAACTAGGACCTCACCATAGAACATTTTAGTATAATCAAGTTTTTCAAAATAAGCAGATTTGTATAATAAAACAGCAAATTATCAATAGCAATCAGACAATATTTTTCTTTACAAATTTAAAAAATAGTTTCTAAGTAAATGACTGTCTAATATGAATCACTCTGTATAGTATATAAATATTATTATATTCTAAAACTTTATTAATATCTATTGTTAAATAGGTTTTGTTATTGAACAACCATAGATTTTAGTAAATAGGCATTAAGATATTGTTTACCAATAAATTATGATCCTGTAAACACGAAAAATGTCATGAAATTCAAAGTAGATTTATGAATATAAGCCTACTATGTATAATTAATTCAGCAAGACTTAGTTTCCAATAACCTACTACTAGCATATTATGATCACGTCCAAATTGTTATTTGTATTTTAATAATAATGCATTAAACACCAATAAAGTAAAAGTAGTGTTAAAATTGATTAAGAAAAATAATACATTTTGGGATGTTTTTGTTATTTTTCATGGGTGAATGATGAATGATGATGTATGATCGTGATAATACAATATTAATCGCAAGTCACCAAGAATAATAAGTAATAATACCAAATTTTAAAGACATAAATGGCGAATGTTATTCGCCATTAGGTTAACACAACGTATATGATGAACCGTAAGGATTGATAAAAATTTTAAAAAGATTACATCAAATATTTTTGTATTAGAACTTTCTAACGTAATAAATAGGTATCATTTGAATTAATGGACAAGTAAACTTTCAAATAGAAAATACTATGATATAAGTAACATTTTATGGCTAAATAAAATTATTCTACAGAAATATTACGGTTTTAATGGAGCAGCGAAAAAAATAGTTCCTATAATAATTACATTATTCTTTTAGAATAACTGTTTGTAATAATTATTACTCCAACTTTATCAAACATTTTATTAATAGTATTTATACAATATTAATTTAAAATTTGAATAAAGTTAATTAAAAAAAAAAAAAATTTTACGTCTGTTTCATTAATAATGCTAGTCAGTTGCGGTCAAATGGTATTAAATTTTTTTAACTTTATATACGTCCATTAATTCAATCAAAAACTATTGAGCTTAACTAATTAGATACTAATTACTTTGTTTATGAAAAAATTCTACAAATTTTGGAAATTAAAATTCAAGTTTTGTTTTTTTTTAATTTGTGATAAAATTTAATGGTTTATTAATTTAAAATAATTAAATAAATAAGTAACATTTAAAAAAAGTTTAATCAAATGGTAGCCATTAGGTATAATAGTTTTCAGTAATATGCTTACATAATTAATATAAATAAAAAAATACATTGGGATTTTAGAACACAACTCCTACAAAGATATTTATCAAAAATATTAATCGCACCCTCCCGTGGCAATGTTATTTGATCGGTACAGGTTCATTTTCTAATTAGGAAGTGATAAACAAAAAAATTTCACCAGTCAAAATTCATTAAATTATTATTTGTTTTACTCAACTTGAACATGCTATACTAAAGTGAATTAATATTAATATTTTTTCCAGACAAAACAACCGGCCTCAGAGTTAAAATTTACGAAAACAGTATATTTTTTAAGAGAAAATTATAATCGATAATTCACATAAATATATTAATATTTACGTTAAGCAATTTTTAGAACTTAAATGTCAAAAAATATTATATAATTGAAATAAATATACATTATTTATATATTCATTCATATATTTTGTTTACTACATTGTAGTAAACAAAATACCTAATAATAATATTTAGCAGCAAAATGAAAAATGATGAACGATCGGATGTCTTGAAATATATACTTGGTATAATTGCATGATTTTGAAATTAATCTTTTCAGTAATTTTTTATTTAGTAATTTATTTCATGATTTTTCAAACTAGACAAAATATTAAATTTTAGTTGCATTATAATAGGTAAAAAGCATTATAAAATTTAGGTTTGATTAACATTAGGTTAATTACAAAATTATCCTAAAAATAAAAAGCGACAAAACAAAGCAGGTTTTATTTGTAGAACAAAATAAAAACATAATAAAAATACGCAAGATACATAAAATTAAGTACTTTATAAGAAATAAAAGATAATAAATTACATCCCTTTGGCATAGATGCATATTTAAAAACAATAAATACATATATGGATGAATTTAAAAAAGTGAAAAATTATAACACCATTCTTACTTTAATTATTATTTTAATTTGACTCCCTACACTTATTTAACATAAAAAAAAAAAGCGAATCCAAATTTTTTTCTGGAAAATTTCTGGAGATTAAAAAATGTATGACAAATTAAATTGTTTAAATTTTAAGTGAATTTTATTATGCATAGTTATAAACTGTATATATTACTTTCATACATTACTTATATTATTATATAAAATTGTTAATTGGTAATTGTATTTTCTATTATATGTTTTGTGCATATTTGAAATTGAAATTTTAGCTTCGATGCGGAGCTGAGAAGATATTAATTTTACCATGATTTTTTTTTTTTTTTTATGTCTGTTGCCACTTTTTCTCAGCTCTCACTGGACCGATTTCTTTCAACAATACGTCAAAAGATCACAAATCGTATCTAGTTGAAGACATTACCCTCAAAAATTGAAAAATTTTCCCTCGTTCCCCGCAAATGGGGGAAATATTCAAAAAAATTACAAATTTAAAAATCGGTAAATTTTGTCATTTTTTTCACTTTTTTTTCTTAAAACTTCCATAACTTTTTCAAAAATAAACAAATCAACATAATTTTTTTTTATACTAAAACCTTAGATATTTCCCTTTCATTTGATATCATTTTTTTGAAAATTTAACATTTAACCTGCTCATTGGAGGGGATTTAAAATAGCAACTTTTTTACAAAAACTAACTTTTTCAACTTAATTTTTGAAAATGTTCCGGAAATACTGCGTCCTTTAAACATATATCAAATTAAAGCTTATTTTATGTACTATAAAATGAAAAAAAAAATTTGTCCCGAAGACTTATCTTCTATGCGCAAATGGCTACCGTA